CAAAGAAGGTATGATATGGGCGGAATGAAAGCGTTTGGTATTACGAGTCCAGAAAGTTTCAAGTCAATTGGGCTTTTGAGGCCTCTGCAGGATAAATCGACGTACTGAGAGCCACAATCAGAGCTGAAACAGCGGCTGAGCCTGTGGCAAGCACGGTGTCAGTGTCCACTCCAAGAACCCACCATAGAGCCAAAAAAGTTGCCGCTTACAGCACAGCCGCGATAATTTGGCGGACCGTCCTGCAGATGCTAGTCTGATACTGTAAATGGTAGCAAGACAGCAAGGCTCAGTATTATGCTCCTGAGGCCTTTAAACACTCATTCCAATCAAACTACCCTTGTCTAAACCGTGCTTCTGCAGGCAACCGCCCCAACTCCCACCAGGTACAGCCTAGACCATGGAAAAAGCGATATTTCATAGGGCCGCGCAGCCCACCAATGGCACTTTCGTATTATGCATACCCGTGTCGATTTTTGAATCAGGTTCCGATACTTGTGTAAAGATGTGAGGGCTCGAACAAACATCGGCTTGCGGATTTTGCCATGACCTATGCCGGTTAAGATCAAGCACTAATGTTTTGTTTCACTCCTGAAACTCATTTAGATAAGATGCGTTTGGACAGGATTATCCTGTTTCTGAGCTGCGGTCTGTGCCGTTGCCTCCAACTGTAGAACACGTGGAGCTGGCGTAGTCTCGTGCAATTAATAGATACAGATACAGTCGCAAAAGCAATATTTACTCACCTGTGAATTCAGAAAGTTGGATGAGTTCCTCTTTTTCGTCTGGTGCTAAGAAGAGATTGGGATATTTCTTTGGGAAACAGGCGATCCCAGGAATGTGCGCGTTTCCTCTCCGTGCTTAGGATCGGTGATCTTCTCCATGGCGACCTTACTGGCTCTAAATGGCCCTTGTCATGCGTTTGACCTTTCTTCTTTGCCATTATAATTGTGTTGCCTCGTTTCCTTTTCAGTGCTGCGTTAACGCTGCCACCCAGTGCTCCTACCATAGGTGTTGTCGGCATTTGCGGCGTGAATACTTTCAGAAAGACATCTTCACCTTTGCGCTCCAAAGAGGTACAGCCACTAAATTCGTGACGATCTCCTACACTCCATCTGTACGAAGCTGAGTTCATGAGGCTAACAACCGTTGGCAGCTCTAGGGTGCTAGAGGAGCTGCCATATTGTGCTCCGTGATAATTAGATGCCAGTGATGACTTCCCGCGCTCTTCGTTGGAGGAGGGAGGACCAGAAGCTTTAGATTGAAGAGATCGTGCACAAAGTGGACTGGGTTTGGGATATGGAAAAGCGTCAGTCAGACAGCTGCTGAGCTTTATCCTCGAGCCAGCAGAGCGCGGAAAGCCGTTGCCATGGTCAGCACGGGGTCCTTGTTGCTGTGGACGCTCCTGCATTGGTTCATGCTTCGACTCTGTTTTCTGAAAGCATGATCGAACGCACAGTGCAAGAGACTGAAAAGTATTGGGTAGAAAATCGAAATAGGCATTAATATGGCTGTTTCCCGCATCACACTATGGGGCCAAAAAGTAAGGCGCCCGCCTGACAGCCATGTTACTCTCTGTAAGTCTAACAAGTTGCTCATCTCAATTTTGCCGCTTTGGACTGCGCATGTGGTACTGTTCAGGGACAAGAGGTGGTGGAGATTTCCTGGGGCTAGCTGTGATTCTGGCCTTGGCAGTCTCGGTTGAGGCTTGCGCATCGGTGCCTACCATCCGGCGGGAGATACGGACCAGTGGCCATGCACATATGGGCATGACACGGAATCTGCTGCACCGGACTGTAGGAGATACCCTGGTCACTGATTGCTTCGGCTTCTGGATGTGAACCTGTTCGCTGATGGCGTATCCAAAGGCGTCCTGCTTTTTAACATATTGAGATCAGCCATGAAGGCATCAAACAAATTCGAAGGTACTTTATGCACAATGGCGTATTAAGAAAGAACGTTCCCCCTTGATGGAAGCAACTGGAGGGCAACGCTGTACATACTGAAGAAGTAGCGAGTTATAAAAGGGGCTCTTGGAGCTCTGTTCGATAGTGCTTTTCTCGAGCTGGTTTGGCACGGCTGTGCAAGAACGGACAGTACAACTATGACACCATCGGTATTCTAGAGAGTCAGCAGCCTGTTTCGTGGGCAGTTATTTCACAATGTGATTCGGGGACCACTGATCAAATTGGAAACTAACGAGTTAAAAGGAATGCGTTGCCTACCGTGGCGTACAGGCGAGTGCTCCGCCAACGACCGTTTCCAGTAGTGGCGTATTTGTAGACTGGGTATATATTGGGCCACCTGGAAGGTGTGTGCAGCGTGATACGAGAATAAGGCGGCCTGATCATCGACAGTGATTTGCTCGCACTCCATAGTGACACAAGAGCGCCGAACTGTGCTAATCAGTAGATCCAGCAAGCCTGTTGCTGATCAACCTTTTCTGCAGCTTGGACTCCTTGGAGGCTCTATAGTTCGCACTGTTTACCATTGTCAGCCACGAGTGCTTACAGTATGTAAGTGTAAGGAAACACTAGAGACCAGTCCAGAAAGCACGAGAGGTACGCGTCTCATACCTTCTTGCAGTGGATATGGGCAGCCGGACGAGGGCCGTCGCAACTGTGGCCCTTCGTATCTGAAAAGCCTTGTATGCATTCCTGATAAAACATAATACCATTACTCCCCACCGCTGTAGTGGAAAAGTGCGTTGTATCCTTACGGGTCGTGGGACAGTCCGTTGCTTCCCCATATGTAATCCCACAGCGGATTTGTAACCTGCTGTGTTACACCTTTATTTTAACTTTTATGCTGACCAACGCAAGAAGAGCTGTGCAATCAACGAGCATCTGGTCAAATAACGCATGAGATCCGCGTTAGTGTTGGTCAAAATGCTTATTTCGAGCCGAGAATGAGCCTCCTGAATAGAAGACGCTGCACTGTCATTTTAACTGTAGTGGTCCACAGTGCACTGCTTACGTCCAGCAGCCTCTCAGACATTACCATGCTCCTGAGAAACCATTTCGGGAAGTACAGAGCCTCGCGTCCGTCAGAGCCTGTTCTGCGGTCACAAGAATTAAAACCTGTAGCATGTAACCACTTTCCGCAATAGCCTAGAGTCTGACAGTTGACTCACAGATGCCTCTGGGAAAGAGTGCCGCAGATGTATATTTATACGGAGGGACCGCCAAACTCAAATTTGCCTGGCAGTTGCTCTGGTGAAAGGTGGCCTTCCAAAATGCAAGAGTAGTTATGCTCCAGACGACCTCGAATGCTGAGTATCCATCGCTGTTGTTAAAAAAATTGAGAAATATTTTTGCCTTTTAGGGATCACGTTTATCAGCCCTGCTGTAAGCACTACTCTGAAAGGCCCAATCACACTTTAGTTCCGCCGTTTTCTGCTGAGGTCGCCACAAAGATTTGGTTTTTGACAGCTCAGCGAGACATACGCTGACAGGACTATGTCTATAACCTGCCTTGAACAGTAGGCGTATGTGCTTATCTCATGCACATCATGCGAACATCGTAGAGGACGACGTACGAGCAAATCGCAGCACAGGTGCACATACGTCTTACTTCCTTTTGATAGCACGGTACAAGAATCATTTTTTAAACATGACGGCGAGTTCATAGCCCATACGCACTTACCTTAGAAAGAGGAAGCCTAGCCATACAATGATATTGACTGATGCCCACAAGGCAAATAGCGAGTGTTCTCTGTCCAGAAACTCGGTATAGCACATTGTCACACTCTGCATTTGGCAGTGCTCGGAACTGAGGAAGCATAGATAATAATGTCGGGTATAATGAATTTAATGCAGCCTCCCTGCATCTCCTTGACTGTTTGAAAAAATGACAAGCTGGACCGTGGAACATTTAGAAACCAGGAGCTTGAAAACCCAACCCAGCAGTCTCCTGCATTTGAGACATGTGGAGAAGCCATTGATACATGGTGTCACTGTGCAGAAGCTGTAGAGTCTTACAAAAGCTGGAAAATGGGCAGAAAACTCATCACCCGCCCTTATGGTTGTGTTTTCGTCGACGTTCGCAATGATGAGCTTAATTAGTAGTGGTGGATTATCCTTCCTAAGCTCACCCACATAACTCACACCGAGGACCATGTAGGGTAGCAGTACCCAGAAGAATGGGTCTATGTTAGGAAAGAAAGCTTTTAAGACTCTAGACGACCTAGACTTGCGGACCATTGCACTGCCATCATCATCAAAAACGCCTTTCTTGTTAGCTTTTCCGCCAATGGATCGCCTCATTCGCAACGGATTATTCCGGCCATTAGAGACGCTGGCAAGGAAGAAGTTCTGAATGAAAAAAGCTCGAATGGCTACTAAGTAGTGCAGTAAAAGTGAGCGCAATTATTTCAAGCTCGCGGTGTAGGCCCAACGTCTTCGTAATATATTACCAGTTGCTGCTATATGGGCTTGCCTTGTCACCCGCCCAGGCGACTTTTCATGCAAACATGCAAAAGAAGGAACACTTTTACAGTCGAAAAATGGCAGATCAGTTGGAGCACGTTCTATGTACCGTCTGCTACACAAAGCGCCAGCCGAGGACAGACAACGTATCGAAGCTGGACACTAGTTATGAGCAGAAAGGCTGCGAAGGACTCCTTACATTGATTAAGGCGTTTTGGCTCCACTTCTGTTGACAGGAAGATTCCTAGTGAATGTACGGGCTCCTCTGGGAGTCTTTAAATATCATGACCAGTTACAGCAACCACGGCAGTGCCCAGCCGACTGCGTCAAAAGCCCTTTAGGGACTGGAGACCGTAAGGATCATGAAACAGGCTAGTAAATCCTTGTGTTTGTGTGAATAATTGGTACCAGTATCGGTCAACCCCCCAAAAAAGCCACAACGTATGATGCTAGAAATTCGACAGCCATAGATGGCACCATCTAAGCGACACAGTAGTGCTCAGTTCATCACCCCCTTCCAAAGTAGAGAGCGCGATTCGCAGCTTTATTCAGTTTTTTCTTTGTATGCAAAACTAATTAATCTCGTGTCGACAGGTTGGGTTGTAACACCGCCGCCCTGGGCAGGGAATCGTAGTCCCTAGCAGGAAACTGTAGCTGTTAAGAAACGAGCCATGTATATCGTACCTTGTGATGCAGAGGGGAAATTAGAAAAAGATTGGCATGAGACTGAAGTGTGTGCCGTAATCCCTCATAGCAGAGTTCTGTTTGGGTCGTGCGGAACACCGCTGCTACGAACTGTAACTCAAAAAGAAACCCGCCGTGCAATAGCAGCAGAACGTAGCAGCAGTCAAAGAGCGATAGTTTATTTATATATTCTACCCCCCTAAAAAAAGCAGATTCCATGGGGGTGAGAACTGTCTTGGTCCCCCTTTCCCAGTGTTTTGCGGGTTCAGGACTGTTGCGCAACCAAGGGTCGCTGCAGAGGGACCACGCCCTCTGCAGCACAGCTTTGGATCATGCATTGCAAACTGAAAGTTCAAGAATACCGATAGCCTAGGGCCCAAGACTTGCTGAGTTGCCCGATATTTGCGGCCTTGCCCGACTTTTAAGCTACTTGCAAGATATCAATGATCAACTAGTTTCGGTTTATTGTAATGATAAACACCCGTTAAGTAATCAGGCTCCGAGTACCATATATAGAATATAACTCTGACACTTTCGATGTGGTTCCGTTGCTGAGTAGTTTTATTAATTCATTCAACTGCTTCATCGTATAGCTGTTCCTTCAGGTTATTGTATCGGTAACCGTTCGACCACTTATTTGCGAAACTCGTAACATTATCCGACTGGTAATTATACAGGTGTCCGTTAACAATATATAGTCTCATTATACATCGCACACAGCGGGACATATACAGTGACGAGCCCTGGAGGGGACCAGCTAGTGCGCCATACGGTGAACTGGGGGAGTTTGGGATTCATAGCCTATGCAGCTAGAAAAGCGAAATCCCATTTGCTCCCCCACTGTATGATGCCCGGCTGCTGGGTTCAGTCAGCCAGAGAACTGCTCGTGGCTCATTTTGCCATCGCGTCTATCCTGAATAGACCTCGCTCGAGCCAGTTCGCGGCAGCTTAGAAGCCTCTAACGCTAGAATCTCCGTGGCACTACGTGGAATTGCGAAGAACGCGGGCCTTACTGCTTGAGAGTGCCTGACAAAGAAACTTCGCAACCGGAGCGAGCTTGCAATCCATAGCAACGCCATTTAAGCCAAGAAATGAGATGAAAAAGTCAAGCGACTCTACTACAGTCTGCGCTGGGTTGTAGGTTGGAGACTCGCCAGGGGCCTGCAGAAACAGGACGAAGCAAGTAGATCCAATGATACTTTGGCAAGACTTCAGTACCACGCAGAAGCACGCTGGGGATGCTAGGCAGCTCTACACCCTCATTAAGTAGTCTGGAAGCAATGTGTGCAATGCAGTAGACAGTCTGCAAAACATACTAATTTTTCTAAAATGCACGATACCTGCATGTTATCATCAGTACTAATTCCGCAAAGTAAACTCTGAGGCTGAGATCTAGTTATGGACGGAGCTGCTCTATCTGCCGATTTTGCCGGTCGCTGGAGCCGGTCCCCACCAAAGCACTGTTCTTGCAGCAGTTCTCTGAGCAGCTGTGCAGCTGCAGTGTAGCTTGCAGCTCTTGCTGCCTGGAACGGCATATTTTGGATGCCAAGCGTTTCTGAGGATAGGTCATCGACGCTCTGGTGTGCATGTAAGCGGTGTCTTTTTGGACTCATCGTGTCCCCGCTTAGACTCTGTCTGGGTGTCTCCTGAACTATCCCACTGAGTTTTTCACTAGTAGTTTCCGTAACAGTGCCTATAAGCGGAGTTGAACTAAAGCGCTCTTTTGAGGCCTTCGAGTGCTCTTCCTGCCGACTTGATGCAACCTGGGGGCACGTCGGGTCTGCGATACCTGAGGACCTTTTGATCGAGAGCCTAGCATCTCGCTTGCTGCTCTCTGGACGGTGTTGCTCACGATTTTTACCTGGCTCCACGGCAGCTGCTTTTAATTTCAGAGAGAATTCCTTTTGATCGGTATCCAGGGTAGTTATTTCCTGCAGTTCCTCTACAGAAACACCCTTCCCCTCGCTACAAGTAGAGTAAATGCGAGCAAACACATCCAAAGTACGCTTCTCCAGTGAGCAGTAATCAGCCATAAAAGTTCCCGAGTCCTGATCGACCAAGATTCGCGGTGCCATCAAACCTTTTCTCCACTCCAGCGATAATGAATGACAGGCGCTTGTGAGCAATTGAATCTTCTGCCTACTGTATGCCTTGACGCTAATAAGTATCGCTGGGCTGTCATCTTGATAGCTGTTCTGCGAGCTTTTCATGCTTCGAGATACCTGAAAAATCAATGGATGTCCCGCATTTAAGCTATGGACATCTGCTGCAGAGAGAAAACATGTGGTGAAAACCAATGAGGAGCCTTACTTCTTTTCCAGAGAAGATTGCAACCAGGCCAACCAGGTCTGATGTAGGAAGATGAGCGCACTCTTGGGCAGGCTGGGTAAAATGACGCTTTGCATCGCTCAAGGCAAAGTTTAACCCTAGTCCGCTTGTCAAGCTGGTGGGCGGGATGTGGGTAACAGGTGTAATTCCAGTTTTGTGAGAACCTAATGAGGGACCGCCAAAGGCTGCCGATAGTAAATGCTCTAAGAGATCTATACTCTGGTTGTTTGGAGAACCAGGGGGCAACCATATCAACTGAGCAAGCACAAGAGGGTCCGTATCCATAACTTTTAGAGCTTTCAGGCACTCCACAAGACTTTCTCTGAGAAAAGATATATCTGAGCTCTGCATTTCGATGAGGCTAATCTTTTTATCGTCTTGGGCTTCTTTCTTGTTAGAATTGGTGTCAGTCAAAGCAGTAAATCGCTTTGAGCTCTCTCCGGATTCTCCAATAAATCCAACAAGGCTGGCAAATGGATTTGAGGCGAGGCAGGGGGACAACCCAAGTACATCTTGGAGGTTAGGCAAGTTGAAGAGAATGCGATGCAGGCAGTTCGTGAGTGTTCGATCTGGCGAGATCCAGCTTTTCTGCCTTCCATATCGACGAATGGCTTCTTGTAAAACATTCAAAGCCGCCCCATGAGTAAGAGTTTCTGAACAGTGAGGCAAGAGGGACGCAGAAACTATGATTTTTGCGCGTACTGACACGTAGTGTGCTTCTCATTGTCCAGGGTTTACCGGCTCCTCATGCTATCGAGTACTGCCTTACCTTCGCACATCATTTTTTCGAAACATGATGGGGTAGAAAATGAGTTTTGGATGGCGATGAACAGCCTAATCAGAGGCTTTGGACAACGCGAGGAGTCAAGACTTGCACCAAGCTCATCAGCCTTTTCGATATGCCTTTTCAGATGCCGTTTTGCCTCCACCTGACAGAGAGCTAGCATGGTTAAGTTGATTCCCCCAAGTGCAGCCATTTTTAGCAAAGTATCCTCTTTGCTTCCATTAGAAGGATTAGGACTCCCTGATGCTTGTGATGTGTCTTGCCCTAGGTGCTTTGACAGCGCCAGCATCTGGACAGAAAAGAGCAGAGCTTCTGAAAATAGCAATCTCTGTAAAATCCAATCATTACCACAGTAAGCATCAACAAAATTGGTGGCTTTCTTAACCAATCGGAAAAACCCTAGTAGTTGTTCCGTCAGCATGCGGTCAAACGCTGATACATGGCAATCCTCTTTGGAGCACCCTATTTTGATGGGAACGCATGGCTTTTGGTTTGAGAGAAGCTGTTCTTCCATTTGTTGGCGAAAGCACCGAAGTTGGTGGACCCACACATGGACACATAATAAAGGATTTGGTTCTCCCAAAATACTGAGCTGTTCTGCTGCCATGGTCACTATATTGTAGTATTCGAAGGCGTTGTTGTGGTGCGGAAGCGACTCAGCAAGCTCAACAAGCTGCGCAGCCCTCCGTTGGCTCCAAGGATTGTACAGCTTTTGAGTGCTTTTGCATTCGCATTGTTTAACACAAGCTACTTCCTTGTGACAGTCTAGGTGAGGCAACAGTGGCAACGCGGAAGGCAGCCAAATGCTGGTTTCCGGATTATCCTGCACCCACGGGGACGTTTTCGTTTTGCAGTCATGCCCATTGTCTTTTTCTCCCACCTTGTTTGAATAAATGCACGTTGGAGGCTTGTCCTGAGGGGCTTTTCCACAATGTGGAGAGACCCTGTGCGCTGAACTCGGTAGGCAGTACAGCTGCCTCTCTGTGCGTTGAAGCGCTTCTGCTGTTAACTGCATGATTAGGCTCCAGTGTGCTCCTGCATCCGACTCTGAGCCCTCCGTCCAGTGAGAGCCCTCCACATCTTCTTCCCAAAACTCCTTTATTTTGCTACATTCTGTCTTTGCTTGCCTCAACAGCCCAGGACACTCCTTCAGAACCTGGGAAGCTAGCATGCAGGCATCTGCAAAGGCAGCTCCATCGTCCACACGAGCTTCCTTTGCGTAGTATCGTGCCCATTTGCATATCGCGAGAGCCTTTACGGGATAGCCCATTGAAATATAGACTTCGGCCAGAAGCACCAGTAATTCCACTGCGATTAACGGCGCGCAAATAGCTCCCTCCTCTAAAGGGGAGGTAACGTGCGTCCCCGGGGTATGAGGTGGGTGCGGAAGCCATGAAAGTGTGTGACAATGCGAGGATTCTTCGTTTTTTAGGATTGTATCAGGCATATGGGCCCCCACCCTCGTAGAATGCTCTGACGATTGAGACTGGCGACCAGATGAGAGTTGGAGCAGTCGTATTACCAGACTTTCAGCTGCGCGCAACCTTCCTTCTCGCGCGAGGAGTCTCGCGGCTTGCTGCCAGGCCAGCAGTGCATTCTGCATTTTGGTCAGGAGGACAGTACATGGTTGCACCACAGGACACGTCTACTCTCCAATTTTGTATCAGGTGACTGCGGTAGTGGCGCTTTTGTAGGCCGAGCCTCTAGATTTGAGCGGACTTCAGAGAGACCAAAAACGTAATAGGCAGGCTCATACCATCTTTGTAGTATGCTAAGGACTGTCGGCTTACCAAGACCAAAGGCTGTAGTGGAAGCTCCATTCCATTACTGTTAGCGGAATTCGCTACCAGTGCTGCAGCTTCCGCGATAGTGTAAGCTGTGCTTATTTGGCCCAGGACCTCGTACACTTGCGTCAGTAGCATTAAAGCAAAGTGTACATCGTCGCTGGGAAATGCTCTGCGAGGCAAATAAGCAGCTGTGTCTCAAATGCTTGACCCTGTTCGTCTAGATAGCGGGCAGCGAAGGACAAAAAACTTTTTCGTTGCATATAGCAAGCACAAAAACATTGACCTACTTCCTCCACCTTGGCTCTTCAAGTTGAGTTTGCATCGTGTTCAGCACTTTCTGAAGAGCTAGCTTGTCTATTCCAATCTTGCCTTTGTCACTCTGACGGTTCGCTGTAGCGAAAACGTTCATGTGTGCGACTAGTAAACTCCGGTGAACGACTGGCGAAAGTTGTGTAAGGGGAGCATATAACTCGAAATGTAGCACTGGCAAAAGGATAGATACCTGCGTTGAATAGCTTACACGTATTTTTTTGAATGCCCTGAGGTGAAATGGGCCGGTGAGGTTTATCGGTTTGTGTGCGCCTATCTGTATCTTCAATGACCTCCATGAGAAGTGTCACAAGAACATTTGCAACCTGTTCCAGACCCTCTAGGCGCTTTGCTACCTCATCCGGCTGCTCGAACAATTTACACAAAGCATCAAAACTCATTCAAATCCTTGGTAAGGCAAAAAGGGGCAGGAGTAACTTCAACTCTTGCCCTAATCTTTTTTAAAGGCCTTTCCTCAAATCACCTACTGCGGCATTTAGCATTCGTGGGGTTTGCATGCCGGTTGCTTTGCTCTAGATGTAAACGACAAAGCATAGTGCCACAGTGCGCTACATGCAACATTTCAAGCTATAAAGTGTCATTAGCTGAGCTCCACTATCCCGTAAGTTGTGAATAGAAACGCAGTCAGGGTATTTGCATGAAACGTACCTCCAAATGAGGGGCCGATAAGCTGGAACAGACGGCAAACATCCATGAAGCTCTGGCTAAGAGGAAACGCCTAGTATTCGACGGTCCGTAGAGCTCAGCGAGCCGACTGTGGGAGACAAGCAAAATACAATGTCGAGCAGAGATTCTCGAACACCGTATTCATACGTCCAAAAAGGCAGAGCGCACTCCACTGGCAACACGCACAAATCTCCTCTCTTGCCTTCAGAAGTATTGTCTGAGTCGTACATCTACATGTAACCGTTCAGGTGGTTTAGCATTCTTCAAACGCTAATACTAAGTAGAGGGTGTCCGATTTACCCGTGCAATTTATAGTTCCACAATTCCTCTCGAGCAGCAATGTTCTGTTGAGCTTGTAATTTGCGTGCATTAGAAAAACCTTGTAGCGGACCACGCAATTGTGCACACTGGTTGTTATGCAGCCGTTCGTTCCCATTAGTGGGAGGAATGTGGAGTGGCATCATTGAAAATACTGCGAAGTCTCCACCCTCAAAAACTGTTCCAGGAAACTCTCCGCGCTCGAAACGTGAAGCTTTTGATGCCCCAACACCCCATGCAACTTCGCGTATTTGCCAATGAGCTGCTTGTAGATCTCCACACCTGAAGTTTGGGGCGTGGCGCACGCATGCAGCAGATGGGAAATGTGATCACAGCGCCTTCTGCGGACGGCAAGAGTCCAACTTCGAACGAATGATCCTACATATTTCGAATAGGCAAATTGCAATGAGGTCTTACTGAAGGCAAAGAATACTGCGTACAACTCGGCAATGCGTCGCCATTTGGATGTTCCGGCAAACGTCCGCAGCCAGATACTCAGCTACTCCCAGGAGGGGAAAGGCTTTTGTTCTCGTAAAGTCACAACACCGTAGCAAGCACGCAAACCAAACAAGCGCCTCCACGATATACGCTGCAAAGGAGTTTCCGGCATCTGCAGTAGGAGAGAGCACCGATGTTGGTAGCAAGCTAAGTCGCCCGTGGAGTTGTAGCATCCGGTGTCTAATTATCCCGCCGTCACTTCGAGCAGCGTAGAACTGCGTTCCTTCTTTTCCTTCGACGTCAATGTTAGCGGGTAGAGGATGGTCACCAGCAGCCGTTAATATGCCCAAAAGGATGCGAGAGGCTAATAGTGCTGCATGTAGCTGTTCGTGGTGCGACCGTTGGTGCACAAGCCTAGCCCAGCGGTACAAAGGAACAACGCTTCTAAGTCGAATATCAATTTGGTCTTCAGACGGGATGAAAAACTGGATTCCAAGAGACGGCCAGTCACTTAATATGTTTCGTCTCCAAAAACACGCTTCAACAGCCTCGCGCCATGAGTTGCCAGCGAGTTGTTGGTTTTGGTCAAGCCATGACAGGTCGCCTAGCCGGCACAGTACGCGGAACAGGCCCTGGAAATGTTTCTCTCTCCGAAAAACCGGAACGGCTTTTTTGTGCTGCATTAAAAGCTTCTGCCGCAGCTGGTCCGTAAAGGCTGGGTCTCTGAAAAGAGATACAACCTCAGTACAGAGGATAGTGTGTGCCCGACGGTTGCTTAGGTAAAAGTATGCATTCTGATACTGTGTGAGGAGATGAAGTCATTCCGTACCGGATACCCTGCTTGGCTTCCAACAGCGTTTTGCGTCCTTTCTCCAGATCGTGCAGTACTGATTCTGCCTCAGTTTTTGAAGTAAATGACTGGCTCAGCTTGATGTCAAGCCAGTTTTGCACTTTTTTCCGCCTAGTAAGAGATACGGTCATCGCCTCTTCTTTGTCTACCCAGAATTCCACAGCATCCTCAGCGAGATGCGCCGCTTCCTCTGCTGCGGTCACCAGAGCTGCAGCTGCGCTGTCACTCCGTGGTTCCACCCCACGTGTGGCCCGTCTCTTTGCTTGAGTCGTTGCCTGCGCTCTGAGTGCGCAGACACACTGCACTCAAAAGGCTTTCTTTGTATGCGCAACTCAAGTGTTCTAGTTTCCAGGAGGATTAGGCTTATTATTTCTTCAATCAGCGTGTTCGTTGCTTGCTGGTCCTTTTGCTGCTCCCTTACGGTTCTTGCGGCTCTTTCTCAAACGCTACAGCCTTCGCCTCCTTCAGTCGGTCATGTGCAAGCTCCTGGGCTGCCAGCGCTGCAATCTTGTACTTTTGAATTTTCTTCAGCGCTAGTGCTGTTTCCGAAATGACTCGGTGCTGCGCCCACAGTCCAAGGGCAAGTGCACAGCGAAACGGTGGGCCGTGGCCCAAAAGTCCAAAGACGCGGCACAGCGCTACAGCTTGATGCCAGCGGCGTTGATGCAGTATGATCCTAATGCAGAAGATGAATACTGCCCCAAGGTTGAAGGCATTAATTTTCTTTAGGTCTGTGAAATGCAGCAAACACATCCTTGATACGAGAACATCTTTCTTATAAAATAGTGCGACATGGCATACCTGGAAGATGAGCCCCTTTCCGCATCTCCCGTTCAAATCAAGAAATTAAAAGAAGGCAGCAGAGTCAACGCAGAGCTTACCAAATACATGCTGACAAAGCTGAACTATGCCGTTGGACGTCTCTAATCCCGGCGAAGTGCATGGAGCCACTTCTTCTGGGCACAGCTCAGTAGCCTCTATCCATACTGATCCGCCATCAACCCGGCTGCCAGCCAAAAACGCAATGGGCTTGAGGAATGCTGAAGCGCAGTCAACACTTGTTCAAGTTGGCTTGCTGGCGTTGACATGTGAAACTTATAGAACCCATCAATAAATGGTGGGCTACGAATATGACCAACCTTCGAAATTTGTATTTTTCAGCTCATCCTTCTCATTGACTTGGAGATGGTGCATCAGTAGGCGCAGCACAAGATGTACACAGGCTTGAGCAATCACACTAGCGGCATTGCACAAAGGAACAGGGGGTCTAGTATCAAGTGACTGCTGCGGCCTGCTTGCTCTCGAGTTTGTCGGTCCAGAGCTTACAAGACCACCTGCACGTCCAGTTACCTTAGGGTCACCCCGCTTGGTCTGTTTGCCCGCTGTAAATCCCTCTCCATTTCGGGTGACTTCTCGAGCGGTGCTTGTAGGAGCTCCCATGGAAAATTCAGCGGTGTCAAAATTCGCACCTGCGGAGCTGGCCAAGTGGCTGCTTGAAGAATGATCTTCGCGATAAATTGCAATCAATAGCTCATCTGGGTCTACTAAAAGTAGCGCATTCCCCAGTTGCATGACAATTGAATACGCTAATAAAGGTGCGTTGCTCGCCACTGCACGGAATGCAGCTTCTGCGCTGCGTTGAAGCATCTGGAGAAGCGCACTGCAAAGCACCGAATGTTCTAGCTCCATGGCTTTCTTGCTCACTAGGTCCAAGAGCTCGCCGCGTTTCCCTAAATTCGGAGATGCGCTCGAAGCCGCACTAGTGGAGTCATGGAAAGGGGAGGCGTCGTTACAGTGAGATGCAGTTTTTGTGGCATTGATCTGGCTACGACCCACGCCACTGTCGACTGAGGATGTTGCCAGGGTGTCTTTGCCTCCGATTCCAGCCTTTTCGCAGTTAAAGGATGTGTCTTTCGGCATGGCGTTAAGTCCTTCTTCCTTAGGAGCGTCAGTATCAGGCACTGGGTTCTCTGCTATAGCGCGGAAGTCAAATAGGCCGTGCTGGTGCTGACTGAAGATATTCTCACCCAACGATATTGGCACATTTGCAATGCGCCCGTGAAGGGAGAGCAGTTGCAGTGGAAGCACCATCAGCAATGCTGACAGATTGGCTAGCCAAAGAGTTGTGTCTTCGTTAAGAGATGTGCGAGCCTCTGATTGTGCAGAAAGAAGCTGTTCATTTCGTTCCATAAACTGTGTGTATATTTGACGAGCTTGGGTTGTGATTTGTTGAATGGACAAGCTTTTAGGCCCGTCAAGAATGCTTCCAGGCTCGGCTACGTCACAGGGGTCCGTGTTAGGAGTCCAAAAGCACAACCATTCTACCAAGGGCTCAGCGCATCCGGCGTGCATGTCAAGGCAAGCCCTCGTATAGCGGTGCAAAGCCGCAGCGGCCGCCGTATCTGCTGACTCGAAAAAGCTTTCAGCCTCTCCAATCATCTCCTCTAACAGTGACCTTTCTTCCCATTGTACGTGACTGCTGAGACGCTTAAAAGCTATAGACACAAGAGAACTAACAAGGTCTTGCAAAGAAAAATCCTCGCTGTCACCGTGCAGTCTAAATTGATTCTTGGCGAACTCTAGCAACCGCTGTACAGTAAGGCTGATGTCGCTAGGAGGTCCCACAAGCACTGCAGCAATTAGGGTGGTCAACTGCTTTCCCTCTGGGGTATTGGAGTCAGCAATCCATGGCGGAGGAGGGAGTCTTTCTAAAAATTGTGCTGATTGAGCGGGAGTAGATTCGTTTGCGCATACAGCTACTATCGATGCACTAAGCCATGCATGCAACACTACACGTTTTTCCAGGGAGGATAATGTGGAGCTGGCGCTCGCAGGAAGCGCTAAAGAACGCGGCAAACGCCTGCATGTTAAACCATGAAGTAGGGGGATCTGCAATAACCAAAGCGCAGGCCTCTTTAAAGCTGCCCACCGTGAGCGCTAATCATGGCATGTTTATGTGTAGTACTACATTGACAAAAACGGCGAGGATTAGCAGCTCTACAGCAAGTAAAGGCCAGAGAAGAACAGTCCTACACACCGCACCTGAAAGTGAGCAGCAGCAAGGCATCCAAATCCAAGCAATGCGCCTTCCATCACGCGCGCCCGCAGAGGAAAGGAGTCTTGTGGAAGCACGTCTATAGCTGCAAAAGCCCTGATAATTGGCTGGACAATGTCCACAGGAAGGGACGGAAAGGAGTAGAACAGAGCATGCAGGATGTTAAGGAGGCTTGCAAGAAGCTTTTCAGCAATATCTGCACTTTGGGAGTATACCGCCAGCTCTAGGGCTATTGTCTTGCGGGAGAGAGCTTCAAGAAGACCAACTAATGCGGGACGTGCATTTGGAAGGATAGAGCGGTACTCCCGCTCCCGGTCCTGCAATGCACAAAGTTGCAATGAGGGAGAATATATAATTTCGCACCCTACTACTGAATCGTTCGTGAAACCGAAATATACTCTCAATTTTTCAAAATGTGGAATACGCGCTGTTTGCTGGGGTTTGGATTATTATATTGTGCTCGTTGCCTTTTCTGGGTGGCGATGACCACAGTAGCTACCGCGCTGACTTACACAACAGGAAACGCTTTCCGCAATGTCGCGTATGACGGAGGGTGATAATCGTGCTGCAAAAGCAGTGACAAAGTTGACGGCTTGGTTGGATGTGGAAGCAGTTGCGTCAAGGAGTGTATAATGACATCTTCGCTACAAAGTGCTCGAAGGTATAGGAGGGTCGTCCTGAAAGTGCCGGACTGGAGACGTACCGAGGGCACTTTCCCTGAGTTTCCATTTCTTTGGCTGTTCACCTTTTATACCAGGTTCCAGTAGCGTAACCAGATGCCACATTTTGTTGAGAGCTGCCTGCAGTAAATGAAGAACACTTAGCTCTGTATGTGCGCTCATGACAACTTCACAAACAAGGCGAAAAGGTAGAGCGTATAATAAAGTTCCGCACTGATGAGCGCAAGAAGTTAAAGGAAATTCAGGCGCTTGGCATGATGCAGCACTGTGGGACAGTAGCACCGCACTAGAGCAATTTGTCTGCTCTTAGACATTATTGAACTGAGGCCACATGATCCATTCAACACGCTAAGAGCCTTCATGAAGTGTCGCAGTGAGGCGATATTGAGTCGTACAAGCTGCTGCTACTTACTTCAGCAGTACGAGGCAAGGAGCACCTTAATGCTGCGTGGTATATGCGGGCATGGATCATTCCTAAAGGGAGTGGCCAGTTACAGGTGAGCGGAAGCGTTATCTCGCTTAAATCTCCCGATAGTTGAGAGTCTCCGACCTCTTCATATGCAACTATTCACACAAAACGCGCACAATGTGGGTGGAAATCAGTAGTTATACTACGAATACGTTTCTGCGACTTGCTTATGGGGAATTGCATCGAACGAAATTTTACTTACCAGTGCACTTACCTGCGTAAGCATCAGATTCTGCCAAGGCTTCGATGCGTGCAACTTCAGTTGGCTCAATCCGTAGCCCTGAGCCAACAACGCTCTTCTGGTTCCGCGAGACGCCCAGTCCACCATGCATGCGCAAAGGTCCTCCGTAGAGCACCTTCCACGATTTGCCACTGTTCGGTCCCCAAGGCTGCCCAGAAATGGATGATTCCGAGAGGCTTAGCAGCAAAAACTGGGGGCCGCGACCAACTAGGAGAGGAGCTCGAAGTTTTAATCGTGGCTTGGAAGTCGCCAGTGCACCTGGCAATGGCTCTATAGCAGGACTTGAAGTGGCGGTGGTTATCCACTTGGCCTCTAAAATCTCAGCGTACGAGGCTTCCTCTTCTGCAGCGGCTACCAAGGGAGCGCCGGCTGCAGGCTGTAGGTATTCCGCCAGGGCGCATAATTCTAAGCACTTTCTGTAGGAGTTGTGACCGCATTTAACTTTCGAGTGGCGTCTGGATGTCTCCGCTTTGTGGTCCAATTGAATGTCTCCGGTATGTCTTCGTGTTTTGAGCCCTCTGCTGATGCGCCTTTTGTGGTCCTCTCGTTTAGGTGCGGAAGCAACTGATTTACTCTCAGCGTTACTTGCCGTAGGTTGTAGGATAGGAAAGTGCGCCGACGATGTGATTGAGGACTGGTGCACCTGAGCGGTGCGAGGGGGAAAGAAGATTTAGGCTAGCACTGCATTGGATACTTCAAGCAATTGGTGACCAAACGAGCGGCGGGAAGCTTACCTTTTGCGTTACCCTTGCCTCGATATTGTATAGAAGACCTAATAGACTCCACGCTTCTGCCGCTTCCGCTTCCCATGCGAGAAAAGCTTGGCCTTTATCCTGCATTTGCTGATGTCTTGGGAGCCTCGATAGAACTGCTTCACCGTGCAATAAACCGTGCATTTGTTCGCACGTGTTTGATGCCTTTTCCAAGTAAACCACTGGATCAGACGAGCCAAGTAGAATATGTGCGTCAGGTGCGTTGCGGGCTGCCAAAAACGCCATTGCCAGCACTGAGGCGCATGCTTCTGCACGGCATATGAGCCCCTTCAGGAGTTCCTGCCCCTCGCTGGGATCACCATAACAAACCCAGCAATTGCACAGAAGCAACAAACTTTTAAACGTTGAAACCTAGCTTTGCTTTTGGCTTTGTGCATATTAGGAAGGTGAGATGATTTTGCAGTGAGGACCGAACAAAATCAATTGTAGGGGGCTTCTGTGTTCTTCCCTTGGACTCGCTATCACATGGCTTTAGTACCACTTGAAGAGCATATACTTAGTGCGTACGGCCGGTGCAGGGGTTGCCCTTTAGAGTGCAACAATAGATTCGCTGCGGAAGCCAATGGCCTGATGTGACTGAACTTGCACTTGACCATCAATCCTGCGACCAGTTTAACCGCTTTTTCTAAAAGCACCAAGTCGACATCATCCACGTATGCACGTTCAGGCGGCATCCTTTCCACGCTTTGGTTTTTTGGTGAGGCGGTGGTGGAATGCACCACGGCAAGAGGCAAAATGTGATGATGCCACAGCTGTACACATCAAGCATCACCACACAAAGTATCACACCCAACGGCTCCTGCGCGTCTGGCCATAGACCATGATTTGGGGAGACCGAATTGGAATGCGAGGGCCGCAGCGTACCGTTAATAGAACTTCGCATATATAATCGTGCTTGAAGTGCATTAAAAGCTCGCCTACACCCTCACTTGAAATGGCCCGCTGACAAACGGCCCCCACCTCAAGCAGCAGACGTAGCCTTGAATTCGGTGACGGAGACAAGCCCGACGCTTTTTTCCTATAAGCTCGCTCAGATGAAAGAGTGTTGCAAGCTTCTCGCTGAGGAGCTGATGAACCCACTCCTGATGAAGGGGACTCATGTTCGTCGCCGATCTCCTCTGTAACATCGAGTTGCTTCAAGAGGCTCCATAGGTGAAGCGTTATTGCCACTACGCAAAGCGGCATGTCTGCTTCGCTTTCTGTCCACACACTTAGCTTTGAAGCCGACGTTGTCTGAGTCTCACATTTCGCAGCGTGGATTGAGTGCATTAAAAGCCTGTGCCGAGTGGAACAGAGTTTACCGCCTCCTTGGGCTCTTCATAAACATTCAAAGTAATCTATCTTCGGCGAATGGAAGACCTATGTACGCCTTCATGTGAACCTGGACTTGGCCTTGGTAGGTAGTTGCTGTGATGGTTTCACACAGACCCTTGGGTGAGTCTTCGAATGTTCAAGCATGTGATTAAAACGTGGATTAGGCGGCGTCGGCCAGACAGCTGATTCGCTTGTAGTACACATTAAATCGAGATGCACCCCGAGGCAACTCTGCAACGCAGAGCGTGGTCCGCCTCGAAGTCTCCACGTGAACCCCTCTGGTGCTGACCGTATTCGAGGTTGCCTTTCCTCTGTATCCATGCCTTCGGGTACACAGTCATTTTCTTCCGAAGGGCCTAGTTTGCCATCAGAGCCTAACCCGCAGGCAGCCAACTTTGTGTATACCAAGAATTCTTCCATGTCGTCGCTGGTACCAATACAAGTCTTTAGTCGCAATACGTGAATAGTTACGGCTTCGGAATTCGTTAGTGTGCCAGCAGTGGTACACGCGCTGTGGGGCCCCGAATGACCTATGCTTTCCATCTGAAGTTGGTTCCCGTTGCTCTCCTTCATGGCAGATTGATCAGGACCAGGCCCTTTCGGCAAGCAATCAGCGATTGCTCCCTCGCTTTGTGATGTGGAATCAATGATTTTCCTCCCGTGACAAACAACAGGAGCATTCAAGATTGGCTGCAAAAGCTTATGCGGCTGGCGGAGAGCGCACAAAGGAACAAAAGGCTTCTCCAAGAAATGCTCCAAGTTATGCACTGCTTGCACCATTTGCTGCGCATGAGACTGACTTCCTGGACCATTGGGGTAGAGGCCATCGCGAACTGTTGTATCAGCTCCCGTGCGCGTGGCACCTCCCACTTTTCGTATTTTGGCTCTATATTTAGCGGCAGCATCGCTGAATGATTTTGCAACTACATGCTGCATGCCGCAGACTAGAGGAAGACTACTGTTGAGTTCAGCTGCCAAGTGTACTGTGGTAGCCTCACTTTGGGGAAAATCGGGATCGGTTGACTTGAAAGCTTGCCCAGCCGGAGCCTGGACCAAGGTTTCCGACTTTGGCAAACAAAACTCATTACTTATTACTGGGCCGATCTTGGAATCGGTATTGCATGACCTTAAGAAGGCCTCCCAATCCCAGTAACGAGCAAGAAGAAGCCTAGCGCAGCTTGCCGTGCCCAAGGTAGTACCACTTTGATCAACTGGCTCACCAGCTCGTTCCCCTGAGGATTCAGCTTGATGACCCCATACAGAGGCTTGCTGAGGTGTGCGCTGAGCTGCTTGTGACTCTCCCGGGAAAATCGGTTTGGTGAGTTCGTCTAGTTGATGCAACCCTTGGAGGTCGCAGGACGAGGCGACAACCCAGCCTGTTTGTCTCAACTTCTCGAGTTGTTGCAATGAGTGCCGGCTATCAGCGGATTCTTCAATAAACTCAAACACATCCAAATCAGTTAGTGGGGGGCAAAAGAAATTGCTGCACGCAAAAGGCAGCACACTTACAGACACTCCTTAGGTGCTGTAAGACAGCCTGCCTGAACCTCCCAATAAGAGTACAGAGTCCTGCTGGCTATAATCAGCTATTCGCAATACGTTTCTATACATATTTTTTACAAATAGTATTGCATGCTTTACGCGTAAAAAAACCGATATTCAAGCGCCTTCCACAGCTTTTCAACTTTTCCAGGAGATGCAGATTCCTTCAATTCAGCGAGCCTCCACAGGAGTTCAGTGTGAACAGACAGGGGTAGAGCGGCAGCTGCACACTGTCCAGCATGCATGGTTCCTCTGAACGCTTCATCGAAGTTATTGGAACGTTCGACTCTAGCAGTACTCTGCGCCGTTGCTGGGTGTTGTCGTGTTCCTTTCTTAGGGCCATGTGTCACTGCATCGTGAAACGCTGACGGGGCTTTGCTGGCAGGTTCACCTGCTGTTGCTGTTGGAGTCCTAGTATCCAATACCGCTCCGTGGGATTCCGGTCTGAGGATCGCATCGAGATAAAATGCTGCAGCCAGGATATCAGTGAGCAGTGGATCAGCAACGTCAAGTAGCTTCAGTAAAATTCCCCCTGCAGAGCTGCCCTCTACAGGAATTTCCTTGACCGTCGGCAATGCAGCGGCCGTGGAGATCCTCTTGGTTGTTCCTTTCGGATGATCACGCTTCCTATTGAGCGGAATTTTACCTTCCGCAGACTCTGATCCTACTGAAATCTGGTCGTTGCGTGAAGCCTCTGATCGTAGATTGTCAACGACTGGGTTCCCAAATAAGTTTAGCCCAAATCTCCTTAGCATATCAGCAGGACTACCACAGCGTTCCTGTTGAAGCATCGTAAGGCTTAAGGAAAGAAGCAGCCGCAGATAGGTTGTAGCAGCACATCCCTCGTTGAAGGATGTCAATGTTCCTCCAATGCGTTCTCCCAGATCACCATGGGGAAGCTTGCGAAGATGCTCATTCAGGATTGTGCACCCTGCTGTTGACGGGGGACACACAGATCGAGTATTGTCTCCATGGCCACGTGCGTGCGTTAGTCGGCGTGACGTGAGTGCCGAGCCCGGCCAGACACTTGACACAAATGCTTTTACAGCAGCATTCAGTTCCTCGAATGCATCTGAGCAGCCCACACCACTTTGAAACAATGTCAACGTGCATACATAGAGTCTACGGGAGAAACTGCCAAACCTTACTTGGGGGCAGTGTACACTTGTCATTTCCAGGGCGGCCAAAGAAAATCCGCACCGTGTGGCTCCAGGCTATGTAGGCAAAGCTTGCACCTGATTAGAAGCGTTGTAAAGAGTAAATGTTTGTAGCCAGCGTGTCGCTTCCATTGAGCTGCTGAAGCTTCATCCAGTGTCTCGAAAATGGCCTTCGAGATAGCAACACAGATCCTGTGGGCTTCTCCCCATTCTCCCCGTCCTGCATGTAGATGAGCGAGCTGCCACCAGAACCTCCAGTAAAAAGCAGATGCACTTGGTTCAAAAGGCTCTACGCGGTGCAAGCAACGCGCTAGCATCTTAGCCGCAGTGCCGCTATATCCGCCTGAACTAAGGCATTGGCAAAGTCGCGCCGTTATCACAACTGCTTGGTGCGCAAAGGGTTGAAGCGGAAATGATGCGGACGCTACACCTTTGGCCTTGGCGGCTACACTCCACGTTGTTAGTAGCATGTCTAGGCCCTGGATCCCCCTTAACACAGTTCTGCGTTTGTCCACGTCGGTGCAACGGTCGTCGCCTTGAAAAAGGGCAGCTGTTGCAAATGCGTACAAGAGTAAGACCCCTCCAGCAGCTTGCATCTTATGCATGTGCTTATTAAAGCTGCACTTGCAGGTTTCCCACTTCTCCGTGGAACCAGGAGCAGCTCCATGATTCTCTACCTCCTGGGTCCTTTGTTGTCGAGCACAAGCAGTGCAGTCATATTGCTTCTCAGTGGCCTGTAGCGATTCACCTATTGCAACGGCTTTTAAAACCTGACACGCTTCTGGCTCCTTCGCTCGAAGCACGCAACGCGCTAGATCTGCCATACCCATTTGAAACAAACCCAATGCCAGATTTGCAGTAGCATCGAGAACTATGCATGAGGGCATCTTTACAATAGCCATAGACTCGAATGCTGCGATAATCTCCTCGTATGCGGCGACCTGAGACCATGGAAGCAGACACTATGAGACTAGTGATGCACATGCGTGTAAATGGAATGCAAAAGCTGGCATCCTGGTACTTTGTATCTAAAGCACCAAACACACGTAGATTTGCAACCTTTAATCGCCTCACGAACTCTACTCACAAAGTGCTTATATGAATGCCGGGGCTCAATTTTGAGAGCTCCTCGTTCCAATCGGTCTCGAATGAGCTGCAAGAGCCGCTGTACCTCGCCAGCTGCATCCATCGTGGTGCATTGGTAAAGAGGGGCAAACCAACGCACTTTCTATCTGCCTCGTCACTATCAAGGACGAAGAGAAAAAGATCTAGAGCCGCGTGAGATTTGTAAGTGCCCGATAATAGCTACTGTGCTTATTCAGTACTGTGTAGGTGTACAAGCCCATGCGCGGCACAGGAGTCGCCTTCCTGCCGTCGCAGAAGAGCGTGGTTTCAGTGGTTCCTTTTGCATGTAGAAGGTCAGGGCAGTGACCCTGGGCGGGGAAAAGAAGCGTTGGGGCTTGTTTTCAGCCGTACACCAATGAGTAAGGAGGAGAGTAGCTTGCTGAGGAAACCAGCAACGACAGTTGCACGCACATGGGCTCCAGCTATTTCCACTGCTTGCATAAATACGTCTGTAAAACCGTTGAATTAGCTATTTTATTGTCATTATTAAGACACCTGGCGGGAACCTAGAGACCAGTGGGGCGTCTCCGCCCCTGTCTGTGGGTCAGCTGTAACGGGGAGTACGAACGTGGGTGATGGTATCTCCTCCTCTGTAATTACTAGGAGCTTTTGATCGAGGTGCTGTTCGATGGAAGGATTAAAGGGATGGCCTGATTGGCGCTGTGGGCTAACCACTTGAGCGGAGACAGCCTTCGGTGAAGCCCCGATGGCCTGCTGTCCTGGCAGCGTTTGCGGTGACACCAGATGCAAACGAACCATTGGTCATATAATCTAGCCCATTCCAGAATATCATTTATTCTCTAGACTACCACCTGAAGTTTTGCGGGTCAATGGGAACTAACCCATGCGCTTAGGGTAGAAAGAACTCTCAACCTGGAAAGGAGTGATAGGCAGGACTGATGATCGGCGAACAAATACCTTTTAGCTGCCTAATTAAGGAAGCCACGTAATAATGTGCATTGCATTTTTCCTCTAGGTGAAACTTTTATGCTTTTTTGAGCAGTCCTAAAGCAGCCTAATTCAAACCCCTGGGTCACTTTCGTCCCTCCTGCCTGAAGGATGCATCGCCCACAGTGTTCGGACCAACAGCTCATTCACATATGAAGAAATCAAACAATACATATCTAACCATTGTTCAAAAGGAGCTCTTTTGAGCATTCAGAGTACCGGTACAGCCACCTTCCTGCGGACAAACGGCGGTCCCCGGCCTCAAGACGTGTCGTTGCAGGCAGCGTGGCTGGATGTTGCTCAATGCAATGCCACCAGCCAAGATGCAATAATGATACTATTAACACCATATAGTGCCACTTATTTGAGGCCTCTGCCGTCGAATGATTTGTGTGGATTCCAATCTAAGCCAAAACGATGCTCAGCAACCGAAATGCCGGCCTGCCACTTGTTTGGGTGTCATCGGAGGGGCGTGGGCTCATCCTTCTTATTCTGAACTGCATGCATAAGAATGTTCAAGATATGCTTTAATAAGGTCAAATGTTTCTTTAGCGTCTTTCAGCTCCATTCGGGCCTTTGTGCTGCGATCTGCCACACCAGCAGCATTGTGTGCTCTGGTCAGCAAAGAAGAGCTTGTTGCCAAGCTGAAAAGGCTCCACAAGACACCGTCTACCGGCTGCCCCTACCATATTTGGCAAGTTGATAGTACATCTTAAGCCTCCATGAGAAGTAGAGCTCTCCTTCGCTCCCTCGGCTGTGCCTTGTCTAGCATCCTCTCAGTCAAAGTTGAACGCCAGTTGCCTTTCGCACTGTACGGCACCTTGTAGGAGTCGAAATATTGCATTCTTTGGTCACACGTCAGGTTCGCCGTTCTTGAACCCCTCTAGTGCTCTCAGCGTATCGATGGAGATGTCGGACCACCGGTCCGACTTAGTGGCTACCCAACACGGGAGTCTCCCACAGTCCCTGGCAGCTGCAGAAAGGAAGCCTGCAGAACACGCCCACCAAACATGTACTTTGCCACCTTTTCTACAAGTATCTTCAGCACAACAGAGCATGGGTCCCCCAGGAGGTGTGCCAGAGGATGCAGATCACAGCTTTGCTGACCAAAAAGGGCAATGCCACGAAGAACCCGATCACCAAAAAAACGCCAGTTCATTCTCCCTCTCCAAATCAAGCACGGACCAGCGCCATGATGATGCTGATTCCTGCACACACACTGATACTGGTAAAATTCAGTCGCACAACTCAAAGGATGACATACAGAAGCACGAGCAGCATAAAAGATTTCCAAAATTCCCGCCTCAGCGGGACATACAGAAGAAGTCTACCGGACAGAGCTTATATAAAATTGGCGGATCACCAGGACCTATTTTTAAACAGAGGGGGCCCCAGCGATGGGATTTCGCTAACTGCATCCCTGTGGATGTGTCTTGTCATTCGTTGGCCGACGACCCTCTCGCAGTATGTTCTAGCAGTGATGGTGTACTGCTGCTAGTACACTCACACACTGGAGTGCTCCGTTTGGTCAAATGCTCATGCCACAAGACTGTGGAAGGTCTTACAGCAGCTAGTGAAAGACTGGACTCAAGGCTGCAAGCCACTTGCGATAGCAAGGTACTGTTGGTTATTTCTGGAGCAGTACCCCTAACTAAGCGCCCTCAGGGCGAGCTGGGTTTAGTAAATGTGAGTGGAGACGCGATAATGCTGGTGGGCGAGGCAGAAGACCTTGAGGCACGAAAACCTGCCCGGCTTATTGTGCATTACCTCGGCAGCCACAAGAAGCATCAAACCGAAAATACGGACGATGTGGTTACAATTAGTGCTCTAAGAAAGTTGCCAGTCAGCATGCACAAAGAAGCTCCAAGACCTAGATCCTTCTACACCGTGGTGTTTGACGAAAAACGGCAGGCAATAGTTTTGTTTGGGGGTGCAGGATCACCAGGAAGCGGTAATAACTCCGACAGCTTCTTTGAGGGGGACGACACGGGATTCCTGCCTTCAACGTGGCAGACTTTTGATGACTTGTGGAGATATTCTATTCTTTCCGGTCAATGGGTGCAGCATTGCCGGAAACAGCCGCAGGAGACACCTTGCCCTTCAGGCGAAGCTGGAATTTTCAGAGAGCAAGATCTCGTGTCGTTGTGGCCACCGCCAGTGGCAGGCCATTCTGCGGCAACGTGGGAGAGACGCATGTGGGTGTTTGGCGGATGTGTTCAAAATTTTATGGATAAAAGTACACCCCCTAGAAGTGCTGCTATCGCCGAGCTATGGTGCCTGAATCTCGATGGTGGCATGTGGAAGGAGATCCATTCTGCTGGCAAGGCACCAGCTCCACGGTTCCGCCACGCGAGTTCTGTGATTGCTGGAAATCTGCTTATATACGGAGGTATCGACCACGAAGGCCCAGTATCTGCTGTAGAGAGCTTTTATGCCGCAGATATAGCTGATCCCGATTCAGTTATGTGGACTCGAGTAAGTGTACTGGACCCCCTTCCACTTCCGCAGTTCTTCCTTGGAGCAACTACTTCTCGATGGAAAGACGGACACACCGATATGGGGTCCCTTCTCATATACGGACAGCGGGAGGTTTATCTCATTTGCTCAAAGACGATGAAGCGGCCCGCTCAAATATGCCTGTCAAGAGGTCGCCAGTGCAAGGCCAACACTTCAGCCGTGGAAGAAGTATACGATACCACTCAACTGGAAGAGCTTCCTGACAAGCAAGAAAACAAAAATTCTGCTCATCAGGAGGCAGCGTATTCGGTAGATCGTCTGCAGCATGATGGCTTGTTACCACCGGTCACTTCCACTACACCAGCAGCCGATGACGCGGGGCCAAGTAAAACAAAGGACGAGGCTCTCCAAGCTGTCACAGGAACACCCAACCGTACGGCGCCTATGCATGCAATGCGGGACATGGCAGGGATGGAGAACAGTGGAAGCCGCCTTCGCTTGCAGATCCTAGCCACACCGATGCACCGTTCTGCTCATAGTGCTACTAACGCAAACTCAAAAACGATTCCTGCGACCACGGAGGGAACACACCAGGGCCACAACTTTAGATTGGATCTGCTTAGAGCAAACAATACTCCCACGTGGAGTTCTACCATTTCAATGCAGCGGATGAGGACACCCATAATATTTCGAGCAAGATGTCGGGAGAGAAATCGAAAGAACAAACATAGCGTAAATTCCCGCAATCATCGATTTGCATCAGCCCAGGGCTATCCAAATAATACCACAACTACGGATTCTCTGATTAGAATCTCGGGGCCAGCTCACATTGTAGAGCAGTGTTTTAAAGACAAACGAAGATGCCCCTCAACCGGATCATCAAACGGCGCCCACACGACATATGCCCCAGACACACAGATAAGCGGTTGTTTGGAAGGTAGCTCTGTATCAAATACGCATGTATCCGATGATGACCTGCACGTGAATATTCGAAGTATTCCTGCCACTACTACCGATCCAGCGAGACCAAACGCAGCCACTTGTCCAAACACACCAAGATCTCTCTCACAACAACAGCTTTCTATTCTATTTGCATTGGCGCACCACGCAACACTAGGATCCAGTACTGGAACGCAGAAGTATCCTGTGGTGGCGGGAGCTGGTGCAGACCGGCACGCCAGCCTACTACATGCTTTGCATTGGGATCATCGGCCTCCGGATCCTGTAGCGCGATGCATTGCCACTGGGATGACGACAGCCGAACAAGTCATTACACTCCCCGTATCGCACCCTACAGCTGCGTTCGACCCGGTGGCAAGAAACGACTGCCGCTCTGAAAAGCTTCGGGCTTGCGTAGGCTCGTGCACCGCAATGCCGCAACAAACACGGCCATTTAACACGACCAGTTCTCCTAGATCGTTACGGATATCAAGCCAGCAACTGAGCGAACGGACAACACTTGGGGATAGGCCGTCAAACTCTCTCGCTGGCTCGGGATCCAGTGGTGTGTCAGCTACAACATTCCGCCCTCTTGGGTCGCTGGTCTCAACTCCCCCCTCCGCCGCACCAGGCTCATGCCCACCAGGGGTATCTACCATCTCGCAATACCCTCAGCGTAACGTTGACGGCGTCGATTCTCTCATGTGGTGGGTAGCCTTAGGTTCAAGCGCGGAGCGGGCCCATTACATGGCAAATGCGACTGCGGCACGTTCCAGCATTGCCAGCAGTATCCACTCCAGCGCCTCGATCCAATCCACTAACACCAGCGGTGTTTTAAGAAGTGCCGGTATTGACAGCGTTCAGGCGACTGCGGGAAACAGTAGATGCAACAGTCATGTAGAAGTAATGCTTCCAGGAAACTCTCCTTTCCAAACGAAACGCCATCTCGCGGCGTCCAGGATGTATGCGTCACTGATGCCAAATATCCTGTCAGAGGATTCCACAGCTAAACAGTCTTTTCTTCCACCCCTGCCGCGCAACCTTGACCCCAAAACGACTGAGGCTACCGTTGCCAAATCTTTGGTTGCCCGGCGCGTCGCGCCTCACGCGTTTGCGGCGGAATCCTCGGGGGAAGTAGCTGATGGAGGGCTACCGCTTCCCCGCCCGGCTAGAAAAGTCAGGAACTCGAATCCGAAAGCCCAACAGACTAACATTAGCAATAGATTAAGAGGCAAAAGCGGGCCACCTACCATGGTCAAACACATTGAAGCTATAAGTTGCAAACCAGCCGTACGCCCGACTCAGGCACGCAGGGTGTCACGAACCTCTCAACCGGTTTCCACCAAGACTGTGAGAACAGCAAGTATTCCACAGCATGGAACTACCCCAACTTACCATCGCACCCTAGGCAGCAAGTTTCGCAAAAAGATGGGCAAAGCAGACGGCATCGCTGCGGGACTTGGTTTGGCTTCTCGGAAGGCAGCCGTCCCGCCCCAGAATTCGAAAAAGTCACGGATGCCGCAGCTAGCAACTGCTGCTTTAGATGCATACCCATACTCGCATGAACGCCTTTTGCGGCGTATTGTGGGTTGGCCTTGTGAAGCGATCGCTACCCTCTTAGCGGCAAAGGCTAAAGCAGCCCCACAGTTCATGCACAAGCGAAGTTCAAGCAGCGTAAAGCCAAGAGGCATGACAAGGAAGAATACTCCAATATAGGCTGCTTCCTCCACCAGTACTGATTACCCTCTATGCCAACTCAACTAGTTTTTTGTTCATGCACAAGCAAAGTTCAAGCAGCGTAAAGCCAAGAGGCATGACAAGGAAGAATACTCCAATATAGGCTGCTTCCTCCACCAGTACTGATTACCCTCTATGCCAACTCAACTAGGTGGTTGGGACGTGCTATCCGACATAAGCTCGCTCAACAGAGGGACATAATGGATCGGCTTAATCGGGCGCTCCAGATGACGCAGCTTTGGTCCGGCAGCCAGCCCTTAGTGGTGCTCTGACTCCGACCAGTACCCCTTTTGTGGATCTTCATATCCAGTGTTGTGCAGGTAGAGCGTTGTGACTGAGGGCCTCACTGCAACTACACCAAGCAACAGAGGCTACCCAAACTCTTTTAAATGCGCGGGTCAACATGAGCTCCTACGCATGTGCCTTTTGTATGGGGCCTGTGTTAAGCACGACTTGGAACGGTATCCTGTACTATATCCTCCGCGAGTGGAGACCTTAACGCAGTGGCGCACTGAGCATGTCTGTCACATCAGGTGATGACAGAAAAAATTGAAGGCTTTGCCAATTCTAATTATTTCGTCCCCTTTTGTGAGCTCGGAGAATGTTATGACTACCTAACCCTGAAGCTCACGTTTGCCACAGCTTTCGCTTTCCCGGACGACCGCGACACTCCTTTAGGCCCGCAGTGTATGTATCAAGCTAAGGTGCTTCAACATAGTGTGATCCACCTCCAGTTGCGCAGCGCTTAAAATATGGCCATTTGCAAATGCTGTTGTGGCTGCATACATTAGGAGTCGAGCAACAAATTGTCACACAGTTCAACAGCATTTCCTATTCGCGCACAATTGTGACTAATCTGCCATGATATAAGGCTTGTTTTAGGTGTTCATATGGATGCCACACATTTTTTGGGCTTTTCATGTCGTTTTATAGTTCCGTCGTGCACACTAAGTATAGCGGCTATTGACTCATGGGAAGGGAGCTGTTAGGTAAATATAAAATGCCTCCCCATAGAATAAGATGCCCTATTGGTGCTAGCTGCAAATAAAATCAATAATTATTGCTGGGAGTGGCTTAAGCGCCGCAGACGAGACTTGCGCCCCTTGAGGTCGCTGTTGGCAGCCCGCCTGTGCATGGCGCTCCACGCCTGTCGGTGCACTTCATGCAGAAGACCTTAAACGTATAGCATCTATGAAAAACCTGCTTTAGTTGTATTACTAGAAAGGAGGGTAAGCGGATCGAAGGAAAATGTCGACAGCGAAGGCTACTCCTTCCTCGCCAGCACACGGCGATACTTGCTCTTTCGCAAGGTCACTTGATGGTGGCACCACATCCCTAAAGGAGCTCCGAAACCAGATTGCAGTTCAATCTGGGAGACTCATTCTTGTTAGCGAAAAGGAGTACAGAAATGGCTACAGTGTGTTCTACCAGGTACAATATTTTGTCTCCTGGCTTGCATATTTGGTCCTTATCAGACCAACCGGTTGCACATATCTCAGTAGCTCACGTAACGATTATTTTACTATGTATTGTTCTGGACTCAAGAAGAAGACCGCACTACCTGCTCCTTGGGGTCATGTGTTGTTCCTTGTTGTGTGCAGCCAGCAGCCAGCTCGGCCAGCATCTGCAGAAAATACTATGGCGAAGTACTGCAGCGGTGGCAGCGTCGTCACAGTGGTAATGACCGGACTTGCTCCGAACGCAAATTGATCGAGGCTGCTGCTCGTCGTGCCATGCTTCGGCAAGCTGAACTCGAGAGACTGGCAAGGCAGATGCAGCTCATTGAAAAAGTTCATGGGAAGAAACAGGAACTCTTCGAGCTTAAATGTGCACAGGCACAACAGGCAAGCGGAAGAGACCGCACAAAAGCAGGCTAGTCAAAATATAACTTAAAATCAGACAAGCATTGTTAAACCGTAGCAGGGAAAGCATGAGGTCCTTGGTGATCTGTTGCTCCTAGACACTCGAATCAAAGGTCCTCGAGGCGTGGCAGCGCCGGATCGAGCAGCAGAAGGAACTGAAACAAAAGCTCCTCAAACAAGCAAAGAAAAGCGCGAGGTTGGCAGCGCATCACAAAGTGTTCCGGTGACGCACATAACATGCAGTCCGCCTGATACTGTCAATATTTCATGAGCACCCTCCTTTTCGTCGAAACGTGACTAGCCTCCATATTCAGATAGCAGTCTACGGAAACAGGTTCAGTACCATAGCAAATAACCTTGTACCTTCATGTGCCCACAACGATTTATGATGCGTAGAAGGTTTCTCAAACTTGCACCATTTTCACTCTTTTCCGGGCAAGCGAAAGCTTGGAATACTGAAGCGCTTTTCGATGGGAATATCTCCTGTGTGAGTCAGGTGCCGCGAAGAGCTGGAGCGCCGCGCAGTAGAGCTCCGCAACCGCATTGAAGCCAGAGAGAAGCAGGCCTATGCCTTGCGTTGCGAGCACCTCCAGAGGATCCGCAGGAAATGCGTGGCCACAGCAGAGAGAAGCAGCATGGCTTCAACCGTAACAAGTGAGGACAGGCGTTCTAAAGGTGCCACGTGACAAACTAATGCACCCTTCTTCCCCCTGCAAAATGTGCTTTTTAATTCCCTGGGGAACCAAATTTTACAGCGGCGAGGGACCCTCGCTGTATCTCCTCTCCCCCACCAACCCCCCTAGGAGGCAAGATACAGCGTGCGAAGGGGCAAGTGCTAGTACAGTTTAAGACCCGCTACTCAGGCTCATCAGTTTGTGCAGGCCCCCCTGTATTTCTTGCTGCAAAAATATGCCCTTTTCTCTATGTGCGCGAGCGCGATGTCGCAGCTGAAGCCTAGAAGCGCGCTCTCGGGGACTGTCTTTTGCGCATCCCGTTCGAAAAAACGGAGCACATCGTTTTTGTTTTGGTAGTTGGGCTCACACAGAACCATCAACTGCCCAGTTGTCTTTCGTGCCGGCCTTCAATAACTCTGTTTTTCCTGCCAAGGCCGGCGGTACTGCCCGCTGCTGAGGCAGAACCTCCAAGGAGCATCAGATGATGCGCGGGCGGCTAAATATGGTAGCAGCCTGATGATATGGTAGCAGCCTGATGAGCCGTCGCTGTGAATTGTTTTACCATTTTCGGCTTCCTCGTTGGAAGGCGGGTGCGTGCGTCTGTGCGTGCCTACGCTGATCGAACACTGCTCCTCATTTCTGCACACCGAGCAGCTAAATTTGCCCTTTATAGCGCCCCTTTAGGTCCCCTAGACCCTCCCCCTTCAAAGCACATGCACATAAGGTTGGACAGGTTTGGAGCGATCTCCCAAATATAAAGTACACTGAGAGGCAGGAGGCGGAGCTCAGAAGTCCCTCCACGGCTGCTGCCGTAGTTGCACCTCATCGCGCCTCTTCTCCCACGAGGTGAGGAGTTATGAGGCAGGGATCGGACTGTCGGATCTGTTCGCTATGCTCTACCAGCTGAGTGGGCGTCGAAGCAAGACGCGGTTGATGGCCATGGGAGGCGTGATGGCTACCCTCCTTCTTGCGCTGATGCCCCCATAACACAGACACACAGACAACACACACGCAAACAGAGCGTCGCGTAAAAGGCTATCTCTAGAAAGCACTGCAGCTGCGTTCGCCGAGGCGAAAGATGCTTTGGGCTTACCTTCTTTTCTGACTTGCTCTTTCGATGCTTCCCCTAAAAGGGCGCCCACACCACAACTTCGCACCAGTTCTTACATGTGCCCACTTCTCGATACGTCACGCAATTATTCTACATGCAGGAAATACCGAGTCGTCCCTGCAAGACTCGAGCGCATGCATCTTCCCTGCAGTGCCATGCTCTCAGTGTCTGATGCATGCGGCATGAAGCGCTGCCAGCCACCGGTGCAAGGAAGTGCATCTGTACCTCTCGCTGATGCTGCAGCTTCTCCTGCCGCTTCCTCTCTTCCTTCACTCTCCTAGCTTCATCAACAGGCATGAAGTTGCTAGGGTCCGTCAGATCCAGGAAAGGGCCACGCCGCTGTTTTCTGCGGCCACAAAATGCAAGCGACTCGCTCACAGAGTTGTTGTGCTGCAGTCGCGAACGTCAGAAATCGTATCGACGCAATACAGTGCTCTACGCAGGTTCACTCTTGGCGGAACTGCACTCTCTAGCGGAGGCGAGCAGCCTAAGAGCTCTTCCTTCACATAGCAAACCATACGGCAGGAATCGTGCCGAACAAACACACAAACAGACAGATACACAGACAGACACAAACAGACAAACACAAACACAAACAGACGGACGAGAGAAACCCCAATAAAGGCGCCATGCGTCAAAGTGCATCGCTCAAGGCCCCTTAAGCCGCAACCCTCCTTACGATATGAAGCGCTGCAGCTTTTGCCATTTCCGAGACTGCAGCAAAAACTGCGTCACGAACGTCCCGTGGGAGCTTGCGGAGAACTCCGAACTCCGGCGTGCAGTAGTATCCTTAGAGACAGCACTTTCCCTTTCGCTGCAGCTGTCGCTTTCGCTGCTGCTTTCGCTGCTGCTCTCGCTGCTCCTGCTGCCGTCGTCTCTGTAGCTGAAGGGAGGCGAGGGAACACGCGCACTTTTCTCCGCAGCCAGTCCAGAATTTTCAATTGAACTTGGCAGCAAGGACAGCTCTCCCGTTCCCGTAGCTGCCGCGGCATGTGCCAGCCGCGCTGCAGCGTCTGACCGTGCTCCTGGTGTTGCGGATGTGGAATCTGAGAGGCGTGGGGGAGATGTTGGCATCTGAAGAATGATTGTTGCTGTGAGAAAGCGGTCCTGCTGCAACGCCGTCTCTGCGAAAAACTGCGGGCGCGATAGCTGCGCAGCAGCGGCACTTGCCACAGCTGCCATGGTTCGCTGCATGCAACAAAAACACCATGAGGCACATGTGCCAGGGCATGCTCTTCCTCGCAGGCATCAGGTATGCGGCATGTGCCTTGAGGGCACCCAGGGAGCCAAAAAGCAGAAGAACGGAAAAGAAGGCGGGATGTAGGGACAGGCATGCCATTAAATCATGCGCAAAAAGCCACAGCGCAGTTGGTAGCGTCCCGATGCACGAAAGGCGTGAAAGGTATTTTTTATTGAAATACATATCGCCGCTAAGAGGCAGGCTGAGAGAGAGGGAGAGAGAGATAGGGGGGAGAGAAGGCCATGAAAAAGGTCAGCATTGAGGGTGCGCTATAGTGGTCAAAGGCAGCAGCAGATATTGATCGCGTCGTTCGCGTGCGGCGGGGGGGTGGGGGTTGAAAGTGCACCCGAAGGTGAGCGCGCATGCATGGATGCATGCATGCAAGGAGCTGTTCTGTACCTCTGCAGGAACATGCAGCACGCTGGCTTGGCTCGAAGCCACAGGAGATGCGGGAGGCGAGAAATGATCAAAATCAATCTCCATGGGCTGCGTTCCGTCTGGCCCTCTATAGTGCAGTACAGCAGGGCCTAGCGCAGAGTCTGATGACAATTCTCCTGATTCATCCTGTGGCGCTTCCGCTTCTTCTGCTCCTCCCGTTCCATCTGCTGCAGCTGCTGCAGATGGCGACTCTACTTTGCTGAAGCCACTTTCCGTCTGGCGCTGCTCATCAGAGGCGGCTGGGTCTGAACCAGCACGCGAAAAGCCGGGATGTGCAGGCGTGTGGTGCTCTGCTGTGGAGACGTGTCGCTGGACGGGCTGCTGCTGTGCGCATGCAGCGAAGAAAGCAGCGCCTTCCGCGCTTAGGCTGACGTTGTTGTAAGCAGTCGGATTCGAGCTGTTCCCTGGGGATATCTGGCCACTAGGTCGTTCTGCTGCGCCGATATCTGGCAAGACGGACTGTGCAGCCTTCTCAAGTGCATGCGTCTCCCTGCTGCTCTCGAGCTGTTTCCGCATCTGTTGGGGGTATTGCTGCGAGTGCTGCTTCTGCTGCAGGTGATGACCTTCGTGCCCAGAGAGACGCGCAACGGGGTTGGGGGAGAAGCAGGCTCTGGGTGAGTCACTACTTGCCTCAAGCAGCAGCGGCAATCCCCCAACCCTGTGAGCGCCTCCTTCAGAAGCTGATGCAGCAGCTGGCAAGAGGGGAATAACAGGCAGTAGGGCGTGCGGCAGAGCTGCGGGGGAGACTGTGGAGACGGCAGCCGTCACTGTGCCGCTCGAGCTTTTTGCGGGAGCTGCAGCAGATGTCACGGAGGCCTCCTTGCCGCTGCCGTGAGGCGAAAAAAGCTTCAACGCCAGCGCGTGTTGTTGTTGTTGCTGCTGCTGCTGCTGTTGCTGCTGCTGCCCGTTACTGCGCGGAGTGCAGGGAGTCAGTCGCGGAGTATTCATTCCTGAGGAGGGCGAGGACGGACAGAGGATGCCCTCTGCAGACGCTGCTGTGCCATCAACCTGAACCAAGTAGCTCATGTGAATTAGGAGGTCAATGATGGGACCCAGTCCATCCGCTGAATCGCAAAATCGCAAGGCAGTCCAGCTTTTTGCCGCCTGTACGGGCAGAGGAAACGACACACAGCCGTCCCCATTCTGAGGCTGCACACGCTGCATCAGGGCATGCAGAAAGCAACGGCAGACGAGGCTGCAAGCAAGCGAAGGCGCACAAGGATGCTTCTTGGATTCGCTGTGACGCTGTCGGAACTGAGAAACTGCATAGTCCAGGCGGTCAAGAAGGCGGCACTCCGTAAATAGCCGACGGTGCATCTCCCCAGAGCCCACATCCAGCGCCTTTCGAAAGGAACAAACAAATGGGCAGACAGCAGGCAGGAGAGTGAGGCAAAGCACTATCGCGGGGAGAGGACACAGACAGCACGGCCGGCTGAAGCACAAGAGCGCCAGGTGGAGATGGTTGCGTCGCTTGATGAGTGCTCGAGAAAAAGAAGCGCATGCTTCTTGCGCGGCAACTTCGCCACAGCAGCAGCAAATTCAAGCACGAAGGAGTAAGCAGCAAGGGGAGGAGAAAGAGCAAGAGGAAGAGCAAGAGGAGGAGCAAGAGCAAGAGGAAAAGGAAGAGCAAGAAGGGGAGCAAGAAGAGGAGGAAGAGCAGCAGCAGTACTAGCAGCGCAACACACGCAACGCACGCGTCGAATTATACAGAGGAACTTCGAAGCGAAAATATGATGCGAGCGACGCAGAATGAAGAGGTCCAAAAGGCTTTGCCAGTGGAAGGCTGTGAGATGCTCCAAAAGGGCAGGAACGGCCAACACAAGTTGCTGCAGAGCATCGACTGCAGCAATGAATGCCACCCCCAAGCGGCCTGAAGGCCCTCTGCGCAGAGAGACACACCTTAATGCATCGGATTTATGCGAGCATGTATATATACATACATATATATACATATGCCTATATATACATATAAATATATATACATATACACACATAGACATGTGCAAGCATGCACATATCGATATATGTATATATATGCATGCACATATGTTTGTTTGCTTGTTTGCCTGCACTAGGAGGAATTCGCGCACACTCCCCACGCAATACACGGAAGCGGCACACAGCAGCGACGAATATTGGCTGCAACGGAGCGGCAACAGCTGTCGCTGCAATCCGTGCAGGCGCTGGTGCAGCGAACAGTTCGCCTCTGCATGCCAAACACGCCGTGGGAGAGCAGCCAGCAGGTTAACTTGAGAAGGCTAAAGATCGCAGCCTCTGCAGCAGCAGGCCTTCCCCCTCTCTCCCCCGTGTACCCCCTTCTGTGGGGGAAGAGGGGGATGTGCTCCAGCACCAGCGAGCAACACAGAGGAAGAGCTAAGGCTTCGATCGGAAGAAGGCAGAGTCTTTCAGCAGCTGGTCCTGCAGCGGAGTGTCTAGTAGTAGCACACAGAAATTCCTCTCAGGGCACCTGCTACTACGTGCGAGCGGCGAGTCAAGGAAGTCTCCCTAGAGACGTTGTTGCCCACTTGGGAATGCAGCAGAGAAGCGCCGAGACAAGGGCCAGAGGGGACTGCAACAACTGCATCTCTACCTCCGCCTTGAAGATCGAGAGACATCGAAACTGCTGGGTGTGAGTGCCGATGGCTGCGAGCAGCTGCAGACATGCTCTGCGGCTTCGTTTACGAATCAAACTCTGAAAATCATGGCATCGTATCAAAGCCGCATGCATGCACACAGAACAAGGCTATATATATATGCATGTATGCATGTAGCTGCGGCTCAGCAGACGACTGCGCTGAAATCGTGGCGTGGTGTCCATCGATTCTCGTAGATCCCACGAGACCCTCTCCCCATGTAGGCACAGTATTTCTCATCATCAGCACACCCACGGAAGTGCATGCATGCATGCACTCAGACGCATGCATGCATGCATGCATGCACACGGTGCTGCATCAGACTGCCACACACACACAGAGTGCGCGGACCGCTGAAGGCAGAGACGCACGGGGCAGCCTCCAGGAAGGGTAGGCCGCCTCTCAGGGCTGCTCCTGGTGTGTGTTGCTTCCTCTTCCCACCTGTACTAGTGCCGATATAAAGCCTGACTTGATGAACGTCTCCTCCAGAAGAACCTTGTGCGAGGCCATCTCCATTGAGGGGTCCCCGTAAACCTCGGCCATGTCGGAAATCCCCTCTTGCAGCTTCTGCTGCATCCACATCTGCGCGCCAAGAAACAGCACCTGCCCACCGCCACAGTTACAGCCGCTTGTTTGAGAGTTGCGGGGTGCTCAGGGGAACGCATGCTTGCTTTTGTGGAACCTGCACTTTCCTGTCGTCTCTATTGACGCTGCCAACTAACCTGAAATTCCGCCTCGCTCACTCCAGGCCTAGGCACATTCAGACCGGTACACCCCGGGGGTCTGCATGCGGGATGCTTGTAAGCCCCCTCAAGGAGTCGCACGAAGAAAGGAACGTGCTCGTCGAGGCTTAGGAAGTTGCTGGGATGCGTTGCCGCAAGCGGCAGTGCAGCTTCGCGCAACAGGTCCAAGGGCATCACGCAACTCTCCCCGAAAGGCAAGATTTTGCCCCCCGTGCGGCTGCTGCAGCTGCTGCTGCTGTTGCTGCTGTTGCTGCTGCTTTTTTGAAGGCTGCTGCCGTGTCGCGTTGCGTGGGGACCAGCGGCTGCAGCGTCTACGTCAAAGTTCGCCAGTTCACGCCGAGACACGCGCGCGAAGGATGCCTCCGAGGAGGCACATGCAGGCGATGCTTCCGAAGAAGATACCTCTGGAGCTAATGCAAAAGCGGGCTGGAAAGGGCGGTAGACCGCCTCCTCTTCTTCTTCCTCCTCTTCCATGTACTCCACGCATGCGTGCTTGACGGCTGTCGATCCTGCACATGGCAGGGGACCTTCCTGAGCAACGCTGGCTTCAGTTCCAGCAGCGGCAGCAGCAGGAGCAGCAAAGGGTGTGCGTGGTGACGCTGCCGCTGCAGAGGGAAGGGCAGCGGCTGCTGCCGAGAGGGAGGTTAAACTTCCTTCTTCCTGCGGCTGCCTTAAAGGGGCTTCTGCCTGCGCACCTTGAAGGGCTCGAAGTGCCCTCCTCCCCGCAAGACTCTTTCCCATGCTCCTCGCTTGACTCAGTTGGTGGCTATGCAGAGCGCTTGAAGGAGCTGCTGACAGGGAGGCTTGCGCTTCGCGAGGCCCCTTGGCAGTGGAGCCTGCAAGACAACAGCCGACTGTCTCCTCGGTGCTCGACGAAATGCAGCACTCGGAGGTGGTGTTACTGCCAGACCCCCACTTGCCTTCCTGCATGCCTGCGAAGGAGGCTGCTGCTGCGCTTGTTCCTCTGTCGCGCTCACCCTGCTGCCACTCGCTGCTGAGCGCCATTCCCACCCCCCGCTCTCCCTCAGGATGCGTCCACGTCCACGCTGCGCTTCTTCTCCTCGCCGCGCAAGCTGCAGCCGCTGCCTTCTGCTGCTGCTGCTGATACCGACGCTTCACATGGACACCCCACAGATGGAAGTGCAGAGGATACGACGGGCTGATCTGACTACCTGTGCCAACAGTGCTGCCACACCCCCAAGGGCCCACTCGGCTGTCTCCCCTCGAAGCGAAGGCTCCCGATACACCCGATTCATACCCCGCTGCTGCTGTTGAATCGGCACGGCAAGAAGGAGAAAAAGGAGTCGTGACTGAGGCTTCCGTGTCGGAGTACATCAAATGCGGGAACAGATGTCGATACAGCGCCAGCCGCTGCTGCTGCCGCTGCTGCCCCCGACGTCGCGGCTGACCATACACCACACGATGCATCTTGTGAGAACTTGATGGCTGCTGATCGGACGGGAGCTGCCGACTGCTGCTGCTCTCAGGAAGCGCAGGAACGGCTCCCGAAGATGCTGCTGATGCATCAGTACATGCGCCAACAGCGTTCCCTGCAGCCTCGTTCGCAGCTGCTGCACGATCTCCGTCCTCACAGAGAGACAGCTCCCTGCTCTTCCCATGAGACAGCAGCGCACAAGGCTCCTCCGCATGCTCCGCACTTAAGGCAGACACCTGCTGCTGCTGCTGCTGCTGCTGCTGCTGCTGCTGCTGTGCCTCGCCTTCCGCGACACGAGGCCCGCTGAAGAGACGCCGTCGAGAAGGAGACACCGAACGGCTGCCACTGCAAACATGCACCAGAAACTCGAGACAGCAGACCGATGGACGAGCTGAAACAAAAACAACGAAAACCCCTCTATCGCGAACCCCCCACACGAGCCAAGCCGCTCGCTCGCTCTATTGCACACCGCCTCGCTCCAGCTCGCTATCTGCCCTCCTGCAGCAAGTGCGGTGGGAGAGAGAAGCCTCGGCAACATGCAGCTGGCGATCACACACCCAATGTGTGTTGAAACTCTTCGTACGCCAAGAAACCCTTTATACCGCTATGCGCCCTTTGGGCGGCATGCGAGGCTACATTCGTCTCCCCACCTCTGCTGCTCTGCTATGTATGTATTTGTATCTGTGTGTATGTGGATGTATGTATGTGTGGATGTATGCATGTTCCTACACACGAACTACCGTTTCTATTCCCACCACGCGCATCCCCTTCCCCTAACCCCTCCTCTCTTCGTACTCCCTCGAGCAGGCAGTACATATACATATATATATATATACCGGCAGTCTCTCTTTCTCTCTCTTTCTCTCTCTTTCCCTCTCTCTCTCTCTCTCTCTCTCTCTCTCTCTCTCTCTCTATATATATATATATATATATATATATATATATATATATATATATATATACACCGGCAGTCTCTCTTTCTCTCTTTCTCTCTTTCTCTC